CAAGGCCAGCATTACGAGGTTTGTGAATTGACCGTTCGTGAAAAGAAATCCCGGCAACAAAAATCAAAACAAGTGAAACAATTCAACTTGTCCTGGTCACCCGGTTGTTCGTGCCCCCTATTGATGTGGCGCTAACAGGGAGGAGCCATGATCGGGCTCGACTGTACAAGGTGTTCCAGAAATGAAACTAGCTAGGGCATCGATCGTAGGATGATCAAACAGTACTGTTGCTGATAACTCCATCGTGAATTGTTCAGACATTGCCTTGACGAGTTCGGGTGCGATGACTGAGTCCAATCCGGCGGACATGATTGGCGCACTTTCAGCGATGCTGGTTAGAAGCACCTCACAAAGCAGAGACTATACTTTTCCTTTTACACGTGCCCCTTATCCGGCCAATTGTGGGCCACGAGGGTTAGACACTGTTGCAACCAAAGTCCGCAACGGCTGGTAAAGCCCTTTCTATGAAACATGATTCACTGAATTTTTTGCAGCGTCTGGGATCAAGCGATCTGCCTTAGGGACTCTGGATACCTTTTATGACACGCGCCACTTTGCCACTTCTAAGCGTCCAGTAGTCCGATAGGAAGCTTTGCAGGGGCACTTTCAGCTTGCTCAGGTGCGTGTAGGAGGCACCTTACCGCGAGCTATGAAAATAGGGCAAAGGTAGCATACACCCCGTTGACCTTGATGCACGAGGTCTGGCGCTATAGACCCCATATTTACTTCTCACGCGTAGCGAGCAACGTGACGTCTGAGGAACATATGAAATTCCTGCTTAATGTCATCCATCAAATCAACGGGGGGAAAGTCAAACTATTTGATGATTCAAAGATGGTATCCTTCTTCGTTGCTTCTGGGAACCGACTATATATACTTTTGCGCAAACCAAATTGTTCCATGCAATTACGGCGCGTACGTCTCCCGCAGTCATGTAGGTCTCAAATCAAATATGTCTCAACTGCGATTTTGTTACATTACAGGAAAATGTCGATCATAGGCTTCCCTGCGTGCTTCAGTCACAGGGACTCCAGAGCTGGACTCTACCCGATGGAACTATTTGAATCATCTCCAAGCTGAAGGGTATCCAGCAAACTTTCGAACGTGTGGGGGGTGAATTTGGTTTTGGCGATGCCTCTCGTTTGATGAAGACAGCATATGGCAATTTCCGATAGCATGAGTTTCAACTGCCCCCATGCTATCTGAGCTCTCAATTTTAAAAAGTCCGGTGTCTTGTCAAGTGTATTACCATGAGATTTATAGCGGGCCGTGCCTCGAATCCGGCTACCGGGTATCCAAATGGGGTCATGTGAATACTACCGAAGTAAAATCAATCGGCCTGATGAATGAATCAGTCGCAGAAGCCAGTTCTAAGAAGGCAACACCAGGAAATAATAAATGGCCCTCAATCACGTGATCTGAGATACTACGCCTCACGTCCTGTCTCAAAGAACCATGGAACACTAGCCTGTTTTGAGTGATTTGGAGGTCTTGTCTCGGCATTAAGAGTTGTAATCTCGAACGCTGATCTAACAGGGCCCCACTGGATATAACGGTACCACAAGGAAAAGCGTGCTGCTTACGATAAATAGAAGCAGCAGCATTAACTTTGGGCTCCATTGAACGAGCCAAGAATCGTTAGCAACAACAATCTCGGGTCGCAATTGCACTGTGTGATATTGTACCACTCGCACCAAACGAATTAATTCTGCCACATGTTGCTAGGATCGTTGGGGTCGCCTGATTACAAGGCAGGGTGACCTGGAAATGCAACTGTAGCATCGATACTAGGTGAGGATTAATGATTCACAATTGTCCGTTTGGAGCTTTCGTTGTTGCTTCTAAGCAGGTTGCAATCAATGAAAGAATCCCAACACCAGCGGCTGCAGCCTCCAGGTGACCCATGTTTGCCTTCACTGAAGATATGAATACCCCAATCATCAGAAGAGTCTGTGATAGCGCCTTCACAGTCGAGCCAACTTCAATTGGGTCTCCAAGCAAAGTCCCTGTTCCATGGGCCTCCAGGAGGCCAGTTGAAATGTTCATACTGTGAGAGTCTTGGACACATGAGGAGATCAGCCTAGATTATGCGGATCCATTTGGCGCGGTGAGGCTTGCACTATGCCCGTCAGATTGAACGCCGGTCTCGACCACTAAGCAGCCTCAGACACTGTTCTACGGGGTCACCGTACAAGTTAAGAGCTGGATGGCAACGCAGCTTTCGCTGCGTACGTACCCATCGCCACGAAAATCAAACGTGTGACATCATCCCTATGAAGAAAGCATTCCATTTGTTGCAAAACCAACACTCCAAGCTGGGCCAAGCAAACCAACACCGAGCACAAAAGCGGCCTCACAGGCTTAAACACTTAACTCAGATCATGCGAGATGTACAGCTACCAGAAATGATGAGCATGCGGTGTCCAATGTGAGGCAGGCTCCGGTTAGGCCGAAAGTAAATGACACTAGTCCGGACGAAATGTTGGCATGCGTGGGTGAATACGCCGAGTTAGATTGTACAGTTCCTTCCACAGGCTGTGTTAACATTCCAACATAAACTGCTACATTATTGCCAAAACATCATGCGTGCCGGTGCTCAAGGCAAAGTCCAGAGTGCTATAGTAGATGCATATTCTGAGGGTCGTGACTCTGCGCCACTTTCAGGGCTATGCAACATGAATTTCCCTCCTCGAACGTCGCAATTCCGGCCATAAATGAACCATAAGAAGCAGCAGGTTGCCTCAAGGACGACGGATCGTTCCAACGGGCGAATGGCACTTTCCCAGGACATGACATTAGGGTCGTTCGAGACAGATAAAGGCTCTCAGCGTGGCGGATGCCCCCTGGTAAATGAAAACTGTAATGCTCGACGATAAATTTGCGACACTTGGCAGAAGCAGATAATTCGGTGTTAAAACCTCGAGGGCGTGGGTGAGTCGCGCCTGGTTTTCGCAACAAAAAATCTGCAAGATCAGCACGTGTTGGATGATCAAAGATCAACGTTGATGGGAATTCACTGCTAGATTTTTCTGAAATTGATCACACAAATTCGGCACCAGTGATTGAGTTTAACCCTGAGGTCAGGAAAGATTCATTGTGTCCAAGTTCAGTTCCAAGGAGCTAGAGTGTAGCGAGAAATACAAAGCGTACCAATTCTGATTGCTGACCCGCGCCTTGTTCAGAATGCAGTCTCAGGATAAAATTTCTACGAGACTATGTTTGCAGAATCCAAGAACGCAGATTTGCAATTGCGGGATGACTACCAAGACTTGCCAAGTTGCCAACAGACAGCTCGTCGTCGGACCACTCTTGTGAAATGGAGGTAACAAGCGCATCGAATGGATAGGCGAGTGGAGTATGTGATTCGGAAATGTAGCGCGCCTTGCAGATATCAACAAGACTCGACCATTCCTTGGAATTTTAAATGACAAATTACGCGGGCAGGAATCAACGATGATAGTTTAAGCTTCACTAAATGACGCGCTGCCGGACTTTAGCAGCAAATCCTAGGTTGCTTCCCGGCATCTTCATCGTTGCAAACGCACGCGAGACTGAGGCGTCCACCACGTCGACTGCGCAACCCGTGGTAGGTAACTAGTTTTCGACCTCAAAAGCGGTCATCAGGGCAAGAGCACTAAACGCAGCTGCTTCCAAATAGCTTGAACCACTCGGACTTTGGAACCCCTAGGCGTCATCGAGAATAAGCTCAGCTTGAAAAACAATGTTCGAGCGTACTACGTTGTTAGAAAAGATCAGGTTGCTTCCTAGCAGCTGTCTAACCTTCTCGTTTTTCCAGAACCCGGCACATGCGACAATTGCATCGCAGCCAACCACAGAGCCAGACGAGATCTTCACGTCGCTATGTTAAATGTTTTCGATTTCCCCCCTGATTGTGGAGAGCAGGCCATAATAGTGAGCCACTAACCATATGTCTGATACCGAAATCGAATAACCGTGTGGGGTGATTAATCCGTCTAGCCAACATTCTGGTTAAGTCACCTTGCATTTTTCAAATACAGACATCCATGTAGCAAAAATGAGTTGAGACCCTGACTTAGCATGGGCGTAACTGGCATCATACGGGCGTGCAAAATTGAGATAATCGACTATCAAAGGACAAATCGCACCTCGTCACCTTTGAACTACTGCCACGCGGTCGGCACCTTGCTCAAGCGTAGTACGAGCATTTTCACTAGCAAAAGCACCCGCACCGACTATGAGAACCATTTTCGATGAATAACAAGCACCCAACATCTCGTTGGCGACCCCAAAACAGAAATTTCCAGAAAAGGTGTATAGACCAGGGAGGTGCAGTCGTCAAAGCTCCCCAAGCCTTCAATTCACGCAGAGAAACAAAAATGATGCAGAAAACAAATAGCGCCGCACGTGCCAATAACTGATGGAATGTGAGTCTCTGCACGTGCGAATTCCTTGCACAAAAACACCAAATTGTATTCTACTAGTGAGATAAACGGAAGCCAAGAAGTACAAATCATGGATTATCTGTGATGTTGGTGTGTGATCAAAATTTATGACAGATCCGGTTTCCGCGACACGATATGCAGCTTCAGAGGTGTTGACTCTTGACGACACGTTGGCTTACTAATGCCATACGCCCCCAACAGCACGGCAACGCTCAACAATGATACATTGGTCACCATCAGTCTGGATTCTGCGACCGAGCATGACACCTGAAAGTCCTGCTCCTATTATTGCAAATGGGATGCTACTTCCCAGAAGTCTCAAGGGTCGAATTCATATTGGTTGTGACGACTGGATACTGGCAGATATGATCTTGCAAATCTGATTCTCATCGCTATCACTGCAAACCTCGAAGCATGTTGATTTTTTGGCTGGATATCCAAACAAAAACAAACGTGGGCTGATAGTTGGTTAGGAAGCAACATAAGTAAGCAGTTGCGCACCTGATTTGCCAAAACCAATTACTATGTTGACAGTGTGCGATTGTGACTGAATTACTCTTACAAGTTCGCAAGGACTGATGGATGATGCGAGCGGTACAAATTTAAATTGCAGACTCTTCTAAGATCTCATATGCCGCAACAAATATGCAACATCTCGCTTTTTTCAAATGATAAGAACCATAATGGTTGGACAAATACGTCAAGAAACGAACTCCTGACGTTGCAGATGTTTGGCTCCGAACATCTAGGTTCAACAGAAATGACGCTAGACAGCAATGGTGAATCCACAATATCGATAGTACGAAGCGAGTTGAATATTCGATTAACTGTTGAGAGAGAAATTCCGGCCGGAGAATAACCCATGTGCAATCGTACCAGTTGCACCCAGCGAGGTGAGTCGAGCCTGAAAAACATACGTCGATATGATATCACTCGCGATGTGAAGTGTGTCTCCAATGATTGTAATCAAATGAGGATTCAGCCTTCGAACCTGTGCGTTGGAAACAATCCAGCCAGTTGGGAGTGACGCCACGACCACCGAAACAGCCCCAGCGCCACCTGCGACAGCCTCGAGATGGCCCATATTTGCCTTGAGTGATGTGCACGGAACCTCAGTTCCGGATTTACGCAGTGCACCGACAGCAGCACCGACTTCAATGGGGTCTCCTAGCGCGGTCCCTGTGCCGTGTGCTTCAAGAATAGAATGATTGCCTCATACCCCTGCCCGGAGTGACACCGCGCTGATGAGCCGTTGTTACGCTGATCCATTCGGAGCCATCAAACTGGCACTCGGTCCATCACTCTAAACCAATGTCGCGCAGACCTCACAGAAAGCTCATCCTCCCCCGGCCTCATCTAGGACGACCGTGACACAGCCTTCGCCCCGACAGTACCCGTCTCCTCTGCCATCAAAGGTGTGACATCGGCCAAACATGGAGAGCATGCCCTGCCTAGCAAAAGCACAAGTAAATATTGGTCCGAGAAGCCCAACCCCCGAGGCTATGCCCCCTCAACATTCGCCGTGTTTCAAGGTAGCAGAAGCGAGATGAATGGCGACCAGTTGCGAAGAGCAGGCTGTGTCGAGGGAAACGCTAGGACCTGTGAGGCCAAATGTGAATGACACTTG